ATATATATACACACACAGTATATATATTATTCATAAAGTCTCCTCAAGTAGGCTGCAAAAAATTTATTGTCAAATTAGATTGCTGAAAATTAATTAAAAGTCATCTTTGGCATCAAAGGAATAAATTACATTTTAAAATATGTTCAAATAGAAAACAGTTATTTTAAATTGTAATAATATTTCATAATATTACAGTTTTTACTGTATTTCTGATGAAACAAAATGCAACCTTCAAAAACTTTCAAAAATATGAATTATTCAAAACTTTTGACCGTTAGCGTATACACTATTTTGCATATACACACACACACACACACACACACACATGAAAATTCAGCAAGTCAAAAGAGATGTAAAGATAAAGTGCTGACAGTAACAGTAAGGATATCACTAACACATCACAGAACATAAATGCATGGCTGTACTGTTTCATTTGCATCTGTAGCTTGTCTATTAACTCAGCTTTGTCATGTTTGCTGCAGACACTGTTCTCTGGCCGTGATCAACGCGCTGGCCAACATCGCAGCCAACCTGCAGACAGAGCAGATGGTGGATGAGCTGCTCGTGAATCTGCTAGAGCTGTTTGTGCAGCTGGGGCTGGAGGGGAAACGAGCCAGCGAAAGAGCCAGTGAGAAGGGCCCGGCCCTCAAGGTACCAAACCTTCACATTAAAGTCATTTATGATTTCTCTGCTTCACTGTAGGACAAACATGCAATCTACAGCACATCTTGAATTCATTATATGGGACATTGTAAATGTTATATGACGATTAAAGAGGGATTGTAGGAATGCGGTTTGGTCTGCTGAAAGTTACAGCAGGGAGGATCAGTTTAATTCAAAGCAGATCGGTAGTGTCAGTGCTGTGATAGGATTTGTCCTCAGCATTCACAGGCGACAGTGGAAAAGTCATGAAATATCTAGCTAAAATGGAGCATTTGAGTAATGTGGTGTTTCTGCTTCTCAATGTTTCTTACGTTCGTTTTTCCTCAGGCATCCAGCAGCGCTGGGAATTTAGGAGTTCTCATTCCTGTCATTGCTGTGGTAAGAGATGTGACACTGCATGCAATAGTAGATTACAGTACACTACAAACCTATTGAAACTTTAGTCACTCACTTTGTCAACAACAAAATTGTTTTCTTAATTTGGTTCAATTAGTTATTATTTGGATGAATAAAAATTAATTTATATTTAATAGTTGCTGTTTTTAACCAGCCGTTTTATTGAACCATAAATCTATATAAATTTAACTGATGAAAAAAGGTTACTTGAGTAAATCTGTTTTGTTTGCTAAGTATGTTAAAAATGAACACAACATGCCCACACATTTTATCATTTTATTATTCTATTATCTTGTATTATTTTTCATTTATTTCACTTGCCAAGGCTTTTAATATAATGAAATATTATTACAATTGAAAATAACTGTTTTCTATTTTAATATATTGTTAAATGTAATTAACTCCTGCTACTAATAATAATAATTAATTGTTTTTGTTTATGGCTGCCAAAAATTCAGCTTTGTCATCACAGGAATAAATTACATTTTAAAATATATTATAATAGAAAATAATATTTCACAGTATGACTGTTTTTACTGTATTTTTATTCAATTAAATGCAACCCAGATTTGCACTTTTTTTAATGCTTGCTTGAGTTAATTTCACAAGATCGGCTGTTATGTTGCTGCCTTTTTAAAAAAAATTAACACGCTTTATTTTAGTTTGTGTTACTCTGCACATATAATCATTTTGGTTTAAACCTGATTGTGTCATGCTGTTCACTGCTTTTTTTTAATCTTACAGCTGACCAAACGTTTGCCGCCCATAAAAGAGGCCAAACCGAGACTGCAGAAGCTGTTCAGAGATTTCTGGCTGTATTCAGTTGTGATGGGCTTCGCTGTCGAGGGCTCAGGTCAGATAACACTGTTGCCAGTTAAAAATACCTAATCGTAGTTATATATGACGGAAGGAAGGAAGCTCTGTAATTATACTGTTACTTAATGCTGTGTTAAAAATACCCCAATATTAAATAAAAGGTTAACATAAGCTGTCCAGTTTGTGGGTCTGAATATTGATCCCAGTGATTTTGTCATGTTTCACGTTCAGGTTTGTGGCCGGAGGAGTGGTATGAGGGAGTGTGTGAGATCGCAACCAAATCCCCCCTGCTGACGTTTCCAAGCGGAGAACCGCTGCGCTCAGAACTGCAGTATAACTCTGCCCTGAAGAACGACACGGTCACTCCGGTACTGCTCAATCAGTAAAAGTCAGATTGTTCTCTGCTTCCAATATTGCCAAATCAGACAGATCATTTTGGTAAATTCAAGTCACATTTATTTATATAGGGCCTTATACAGACCATTTCAAAGCAGCTTTAAAATGTTAAACAGGAAAATCACGGTGTTAGTGTAGCATAATTTCAGCAATCATGAAACAAACTCCGTTCAACTATAAAGCAGCTCTACTGTACAGAAGACAACAGTGTCATTGTCCTGTGGAAACCTGTTTCCGTTATGGAATAAAACAATTAAAAAGGTAACTGTGACTTTATATCTCACAATTCAGATTTGCACTTCTGAGAAAAAAAGTCATAAGTTTGAGATACAAACTCAGAATTGTGACTTTTTTTCTCAAAATTCTGAGTTATGTTTTTTTTTTTTGGTTCCGCTATGGAATAAATCTTATATTTTTGACTTTTAATTACAATTGTGAGTTTGTCAAATGTCAAAATTCTGACTTGTCTTTTCAGAATTGTGAGTTTGAATTTCTCAGTTTTGAGTTTACATGAGAAACCTGGGCGATTATATGAGGAAATCCTCAAAATTGCAAGAAACAAAAGTCAGAATTTTTAGAAGAAATTTATTTTTTTTTAATCCTCTGGCAGAAATGGGCTTTCATATTATCCAGCTCAATTCAGTTCAAATGTTTTTCTCATCTGATAGTGTGAGTGCAGACTAATTGTGACCCTGGAGCACAAAACCCCAGATTTTCAAATAGTCCTAACAAACCGTACATCAATGGAAAGCTTATTTATTCAGCTTTCAGACGATGTATAAATCTCAGTTTAAAAAAATTGACCCTTATGACTGGTTTTGTGGTCCAGGGTCACAATTGATAATATTACTGAATGTGAATAGTCTTTTACGACATGATTTGACAAAAATTGTGCCTCCACACGCATCACAGTTTCATCCTGTAAATTGAACGCTATGTGTTGTGTTTCTAGGCCGAGCTGAATGATTTGAGAGGCACCATCATTAACCTGCTGGATCCTCCGCCGGAAGTCGCTGCGCTCATCAATAAACTGGACTTTGCCATGTCCACCTACCTGCTGTCTGTCTACCGTCTGGAGTACATGAGGTACACCGGATCTGTTGAGCAGGGGACTGTTTTAGACGGCTGTCTTTTTAGTCTGAACAGTCACGTGACCTCTTGTATCTTCTCAGGGTGTTACGCTCACTGGATTCTGATCGTTTCCAAGTCATGTTTCGATACTTTGAGGACCGAGCGATCCAGAAGGATAAATCAGGTGGGCTAGAACATTCATCTGTTTCTAGATGATTTAAGACAACTTATGATTTTGTTTTCTCAAAGTGACTCATTTTCAGTAGCACTTACAGATACGTTTTATTCCTATCTATATTCTGAAGAATAGCTTGTTCATATCTCATTCCCCTGATTTATATAACATTTCTGAAAACATAGTGAAAATGTTTTAGTTTTTTTTCTGCCTGTTGAAAATACTGTATTTTATGATTCTGATACACTAATACAGCAACAAAATGAAACAAGAATTTTAAACCGAGCTTTATCCAATGTTCATATTGATATGTTGGAAATGTATGCAAATCAGGACATTTTTCAATTTTATAATTCCTCATTAGCGTATTTAAACATAACATTTTAGAAAACTTGCAATACAAAAAATTGTACTGTGATTAATCTCTTGGGGAATGTTTGATATCTATTTTCACCTATAGAGTCTTGTTCTGAGATTCAAGTTTAGCAAATATATAATCAGTAGATGATTATTTGACAGCTTTGTAGTGATTGTGTTACTCGTATCCTCTCAGGAATGATGCAGTGTGTCATTGCGGTGGGTGACAAGGTCTTTGATGTCTTTCTTCAGATGATGGCTGACAAGGTAAATGAGAAATCACACGAACAGCTTTAACACCTCGACTTGGCCACTCGTTGTTATCCTCTAATGTTATATATCTTTTTTCCTAGGAAAAGACCAAAGCCCATGAGGAGGAGTTAGAAAATCATGCTCAGTTCCTGTTGGTCAACTTCAACCACATTCACAAGAGAATCCGAAGAGTGGCTGACAAATATCTGTCAGGACTTGCTGAGACGTGGGTCCTTCTCGATTACAAACACAGGAAATGATGTCAGACCGTACTGAACTCAAAAGTGTCCTGTAGAGATTTCTGTAGATATGTTGTCATGTTTCTGTGTGGGTTAGCTGACCATCCATTATCTCACAAACAGTAGAGAAGTGTATTTCTTCTTCTTGAATGTTCAATGTAGCTGTGTCTCTTTGTTTTTCCGTCTAGTTTTCCGCACTTGTTGTGGAGCGGTCGTGTCCTGAAGACGATGCTGGATATATTACAGACCTTGTCTCTTTCACTCAGCGCTGTAAGTGCTCAGATCAAGTTCATATGCGTTTCCTCGTATGGAGATGTTCAGGGTTTTGTTGCAGGAGATGTTTATGACACATTATTGAGTTCTTAAATCTTAAAATGTTCTTCAGGACATCCACAAAGACCAGCCGTATTATGACATACCAGACACCCCGTATCGCATCACAGTGCCGGATACATACGAGGCCAGAGAGGTACATTTACTTTACTTACTTTTTTTTTACACTTACTAAAACCAGAGGAATTTTATGTACTTGCAGCAATTTTTATTTATACATTATGGTTTATATAAAACATTTTTATTATTTTTTTAAACTTGTTATTTACATTTTTATAAATGTTTAATAAAGTATAATTATATAAATGTATTCATATAATAATAATAATAATAATACAATTTACATTATATTTGTGTTATATAAATATATCATATAAAATAATTTATGTAAATGTATGTTTATATTATACATACATTTTTTTAAATATAAATGTATTTATATTGTTATGAATATTATATATATATATATATATATTTGTATTATATATGTATATTATATTTATATAAAATAATTGATCTAAAAAAATATATTTTTTTTTTATTACACAATATAACAACACACAAATATACATATATTTATGTTTAATATAAATATATATTAATATATATTATTTTTGCTTAATTTTTAGTTGAACACTGTAAAAATGTATCCGTTTTTTGACTGGAATATAAAATGAGTTTAAAAAAGCATAGATATGAATTTGGCTTCTTATTAAAAAGCATGGTATTGCATATGCGTTAGTGATAGATTTGGGATTTCATATGTCATGTATAGAGCATAGTGAAAGACTTTGCTGCTCGTTGTGGAGAAATCCTAAAAGAGGCCATGAAATGGGCGCCATCGGTCACCAAATCTCACCTACAGGTTTGGCCTCCCATTCAAAACACTACTGATATTTAGATTCACTACCACTATTATCCTCTGCAGTGGTTTTAACATCATCAATGTATTTTCCACAGGAGTACCTGAATAAGCATCAGAACTGGGTGTCGGGTCTGTCTCAGCACACGGGTCTGGCGATGGCCACTGAGAGCCTCCTGCACTTTGCTGGATACAACCGTCAGAGCACCAGTCTGGGTGTAAGATGACCAGCTTCTGTTGAGCTTTAGTTCATGCCGAAGGGATATATTGACTAGTTCCTTAGTGATAATAAACAATCATGAAATTCTGTGAAAAGTATGTTCTCTGTCATTTCAGATCAGTGTTATTTTGATATTATTGAGCTACTATAATAATTTTGTTAATATTTTGAATTATTTTTTATTTTATTTTATTTTTTCCATTTTCATTTTGATCAAAGTTTGTGTGTTTTTTTTTTATATGTCTATATAGTTTTTATTCATTTTTATTTTGAGTTTTAGTAGTATTTATTTAGTATATCTAGTTCAACTAAATGAAAATGAGAAAATTTCTTTTATTTTTAAAAGTTTCTTTTCTTTTCTTTTTCTTTTCTTTTTTATTTTATTTAATTAGGTTATTGTTTTTTTTTGCAACTAGCTGAAATAAAACAAGTTTAAGTTTTTAAAATATTTTATTTTAGTTTAATTTACTTCAATTTTATTTTATTTTAGAGTTAACATTCATTTTATTTCAAGTAAAAAAAAAAAAGTATGGTTTTTATTGTAGTTAAATATTATGTTCCTGTTTCAGACCACTCAGCTCACAGAGAGACCAACATGCGTGAAGAAAGACTACTCCAACTTCATGGCCTCCCTCAACCTGAGAAACCGCTATGCCGGAGAGGTAATGCTGAATAATAAAGCAGAGGTTGCTGGGTGTTTTATGAAAGAAGCTCAGAGTCGTAACTCCTCACGTGTCTCGTATGCAGGTGGCAGGGATGATCCATTTCTCTGAGGCCACGCAGAGCACGTCGAATCTGAATAAACTGATGATTCGTCAGATGAATGAAGCTCTGGACGGAGGCCAGCCAGAAGCCTTCACTGAAGCCATGTTCAAAATGGCTGCGCTGTTGATCAGCTCAAAAGGCATGTTACTACATTGCAAGCCATACGCCAACAGTAGATGTTCATACCATCAAATTGCAATGAAGAATCAAATTGCATAATGAAACACTGAAATATACCACAAATCAAGTTCAGTTTTACAGTATGTTGTTGTTTTTATAGATAACAGGATAAGAAGAACAATAAGACCACGGGCAGTCATTAACAAAGTCAGTTGAGTTTTGATTTAATGTTGTGTTTATTGTGTAGAATGGGATCCTCAGCTGCTGCATCAACTGTGCTGGTCTCCATTAAAGATGTTCACTGAGAATGGCATGGAAACAGCTATTGCCTGCTGGGAATGGCTCCTGGCTGCAAGGACAGGCGTTGAAGTCCCGGTAAGATACACACATGTATATGTAGAGCTGTCATAATACCAATATTTTGTCAATGCATACCAATACCAGTAAAATTAAATGGTCTCAAAACCCAAATAAAATGTAAGAAAATAAATCTCAAGTAATTATTCCAGTAAACAGTCATTTATAAGTAATAAAACGGGTTAAAAAAGGCAAGTAAATAACAGAGAAATGCAATCACATAACCAACATAATATTCAAGCAGCAGGAGATAAAATAATAAAATAAAACATAATGAAATGTAAAGTAGTACTTTATAATACTACTCTATTTAGTCACAAGTTATTAAATTAATATATAATTGTTATATTATAATTATTATCAGCTGCAACTGCCAGAAATAAAAAAAGTCAAATGATAATGAAATGTAAAATAGTACTTTATAATACTAATGTAATTATAATTTTTTTTCGCTTAATTATATTATAACAAATTTATATTTATTTATTAATTTATAATAATATATCAACTTAATATACAATTATTATATTATATTTTGTATTATATTACATGAATTACCTATAAATGGGCTTTTGGCTGTCAGCAGCTAAAACTTCCAGAAATAAAATAGACAATTACATGTAAATTAGTACTTTAAAATACTATTGTAATTATTAACAATGGTATTTATTAACTTTAAATATAATTATTATATATATATTTTTTTTATATTTTGTATTATATTTTTATAATATAA